AACGGAGAGTCTCCAGACTGATTAGCGAGTGAAATCTTGAAAGCTTGCGAGATCAGGATGGTCTCACGAGGCTATAGTTTACACACCACAGTGTTTAATCGGTTTACATTAGGCAATAGTAGGCATTTTCCTAGAGCCCTAAGTTCCTGGGGGCCCCATAACACCTGTTTAGATGTATGGTTTATACAACTATTCTGTACCTGTCCTTTGTGACTAGCTGCTGCAAATCCTCAGTAAAATGCAATCAGAATGCTTATAATAAGTGTGTGTCAAACCCCCCCCCTTTAGTGTCCACCACATTGGATCAGTCCATTTGCTGCACATGTTCAGAAAGGTCCAAACAGACAGCAGGAAACCATTAAAAAACTTAGCACTTTTCTCGCCATGTTTCAGACACCTCTAGCACTTTTGTAAAAAAAAAAAAAAAAAGCACCTAGCACCAATCTAGCAACTTTTTTCTGCTACTGGAGACTTGCAACAATATATAAAAGCAAGCAAACTCTGCTCTCCAGATCAAGTAGAAAAACCCGCCGCCTGCTCTCCTCTATCTTGTCTGCTATAATAATTCATGCAGCTATTATTTCATACTAATGAAAAATGGAGAACAGATAAGCAGATCATGGCTTGTCTACAGTGAAAAGGAGGACTCTGTTATTTAATTTTGCCGTCGCCTTTTTGGAAACAAAGGAAGGAGCAATCGGCTAAGTGAGTTTAGTGATTGGAAAAAAAACTTTCATTTTTTTTTTTAGATGAAAATTCAGCTGAGTACAAAACATAGAGAGGAAAACAACAAGAAAAGGGAACAAATAATAACAAATAATGTATGTTTATTCTATTAAAATTTCAACATCTGTATAATGGGTCTTTTATGTGTTTTATGTGTTGTCTTCTATCAGAGGGAATTCAGAGGGCTCCCTGCCTGTCTTTGCCTAGGGCCCCAAATGTCCTAAATACACCCCTGATACTAAGTAAGGCATAACTTAATTTACCTTTTGCGATCCTCTGGGCTTGTTTTACAAACCAAATTGTCATATTTACTAACTTTAAAAAAATGTATTTATACATATGGCTTAAATAAATAATACGTTCTTCATTCAGGATGGTCTTCACTCTAGCATAAAAGGGATAAATGAGTAAATGTGCTTCATGTTTCCATGTTCATCCATGTCCATCCAGATATATAATAATTTTTTTGTGAAACCAGCTGGTTCATTTGAAGCCACAGAGAGAATAATAAACCCTGTTTTGGGTGGGTGAGAAGTTTTCCCTTCTCAATTTAATGAATCTCATCTCCTTTTTCTGCAAAATTGAATTCTGGGGGAAATGCAGAGTCCTTCAACATCCTTACTGATTCCCTATAAGCAGCTGCAGATCCATTCATCCTATTCCTATCAGAAATATATTCTGTTTAATGAAGAACAGCTTTTTTTTTTTTCAATACTTGTCTGCTTTGAAAAACTTTCTACTTTGATTTTTTTTATACTTAGCCAAAACATGCAGAAATATCCACTTCAAAATGTTGTAACTAAAACAATAATTTAAGGAATAAAAAGTGTCACCCTGTCAAAATAAATAATTATCTAAGCTTTTTTTGTGTGACATTTTTAAGATTGAAAACATGTAAATGTACATAAATGTACTTGACATAAAAGTAAGGTCAGATAAAGTTAAATTAGATTCAATTATTAGAGTTGAACATACCTCTGCATTGCAGAAACAAAGAATAATGGCCACAAAGAGTCCCTAAAAAAGAGAAATACGTAGTTTACAAACAAATACAAAAAAAATATGTAAACACAATTTATTGGCTTGTTATAATTAATTTCCTTGCATGTTTCTTCATTTTGTCAGATTAAAGCTTTAGGCATTTTCTTTGGATAGATATGCATTTATATTTAGCCTGCTATAGCGCACACTTTCTACAACCACCTTTCATAACAAATATACACAAAAATCTGGGATGCATCTCCACGCTTTGCATAGCTATAGGCTCAAATGTTTGCCTTTTCTGCAAACTGATCAAAGCTCAGTCCGATGGAAGGGGCGGGGCTGTGAACAGCTCTGGTCTGAGCTGAGCCATTCTTAATCATGAATAAACTCGGATCTGAACAGTTTAATCTGCGTGTTTAGAGTCACTTCCCTGTTGGAAGCTCAACATTACAATTTGTTTAAAAAAAATAAATGTTTGTACCTGATAGTTGGAAAGGACAGACACAAGATAATAAATGACTTGGTTGGAATAACTGTCTGATCCCAGATAGGGCAAAAGGATGTACTGGACTCCCAGCAGGGGGATCAGGATGAGGGTGGCTCTCACTGCCTTCATGTAAGTCGTAGATTCGGCACAGTGTGTTTTTCTCAGCTTGGTGATCAAGACCCGGATGACGTTCAGGAGAAAGAAAAGATTCACCTGAATGGGACACAAGTTAAAGAGAATAATATTAATGAGGCATCAATAAAAAACTGCAAAGTCAACAAAGTCCTTAATGGAAAAGAGATCTGCACGTAGCTCTGATTAAAGAAATAGTACATAAGGTTCAAAGTTCGAAAGCAAGATGTTTTTACCTACCTTTCCTAGAGCCTAGGTTATGACTCTGGGCTAAAAATAAACCATCCTAAGTCACATTGATACTTTATTAAATGTCAAGTTGGAATATGATGACAAGTCCAGAGGGGGGGTGCCCATTGTCCAGCTACCTGGGGCTGCTCTGACCTTTAGGAGCCCCATTCTGGGGAGGTGTTGGCCTCAGCATAGAATTAGTTGACTTTTCAACGGCAGGATATGCTGATGCATTGACAATTTTTATGCAGTGCATCTTTGTTTCATTTAATTGTATTGGATTGAAAACAAATAGCATCTCACTGGTCTAATAAAACACCAAATTTATCCTCCAAAAAATGATAAATAAAGCCTCCAATATTATTTTTTGAGAAGCACATGTTTAAATAACAATAAATAAATTATTGACACTCTGGAGAGAGACCTCCTCAGTAGTAGCTACTCACAATGAGTGCAGCATGGATGGGCCCATGAATGATGTAGAGAAGGTAGGTTTCTGCACCGATCCAACAACTAAAGGAAACAAACCGTTGTAGTTAAAGGTTTCAAGCTTCCACACTTTCCTCATGAGACCAGTTCTTACTTTAAGGACCATGCATAATACTGCTTGAGTCTTAGTAATGCTTTTATTAATAATCTTTATTTACTATACTTCAAAAGAAAGAAAAGTTAAAGCTCATAAAGATTCATAAAAGAATTCTTGCTAAATCATTCCCAGTGTGTCACCAATGTGTCTTTAGTTACCTTGATTCAGGGAGTTTAACTATACAACTACCGGTACCATAACTTTATTCATTTGCAATAACAAAGCTGCAGTTATAAATGCAAAGTGTATTTTCTACCTCAACACTGAGCAAATAAATTGCTAAAAGTTTGCTTTCTTTGTGTGACTAACGGTTAACGTTTGAACAGTAAAAACCCACTGTTATGTAGAAAAAACTCATACAAGCACAAATTGCCACCTTATATTCATAAATACAATGTAATTGTAATACAAATGTAATACAATGTCTGTAAAAAAGTGTTAGTGAGATTACTTTAAAAAACAGACTGTAAAAAGGGAAATGTGTTTAAACTCACTTGTCATTATAGTAGAGTCCACGAGCAACAGCATATGTGATTGCAGGAATGATGGGGAAAACTATGAAAAGAGAAATTACAAACTTTAGGACATCTTTTTTCAGATACTCAGTTCCATAAAGGCTAAAAAATGATGAATAGGAAACAATGAGTAAAACATTGAGCCTTCTGGGAACAGCTTAGTCTTTTTTTCTGCTCCTATTTTGTCATTGTTCAAGCCGAGCTACTAGGGATGCACGATATAATCGGCCCACTATTGGTATCGGCCTGTATCCGACTTAAAACTGAATATCGGACATCGGCCACCACACCGATATTTAACCCGATATTTGATCAGCTTCTGAGTTTCTAAAGTCTAAAAAAATATATAATAAAATACTTGTTCTTCTTCTTCTTCCTCAAAAACTTCTTTTTTTACAGACTTAAAAACTTCTAAAGACAAGTGAAAAAATATTGATACATTAAAATATCACAATATCTTCATATGCTGATATATTGCCATTTAAAAACACCATATCAATCTCTTTTACTAATGAAATATTGCTATATGTCATCGTTATGCTACGAAATCCTCAGAAAATTCACAAAATGTTGCCATATTTTTATATGTTGATATATTGTCGCGGTATCGATCTATTTTACTAAC